TGGCCAGCAGCAGAAGTGTCCTGACAGGGTTGGTGCTCCTGGGAGAGACAACCTTCACGGACGCTGCAGCGTGGAGGCCTGAGGGGGTGGGGTGGAAGTGCCACCTGGCCTCCCTTCCCCTGCACCCTGCCCTGCCCATTCCCTGGGTCTGGATCTGAGGCCTGAGCTGGGGGACGCTGGGGCTCCCGGACCCTCTGACTGCTGGCCTCCTCTGGGTCTGGCTTTGGGGAACCCCCCACCCCGGATGTTGACTGTTGAGTGACACTCTACCTTCGTGGGATATTCTGAGCCCTGTTCCCATACATTTGCCCTTAGTCCCCAAATTCACATCCCAAGCCGCACTGGGGCCCAAGTCCCCTGGATGTGCTGCTGGGCCTGGCGGGGGTCCCGGAGCGGGGGGAGCCCTGAGCAGCCGCAGGCTGTGTCCACCCCACTCCGCTCCCACGGCACCGGCACCTCACAGACGTGATCTCATCCAGCCTCCGGACCCCGGGGAGGTGGGGCGGGGTGGGGGGAGGGGGCTGGCGGCCTTCACAGCCTTGGGCCCCTCTTTGTTTCAAGCAGCTGGGAGAAACTGAGGCCGGCAGTAGGTGAGAGGTGAAGGGTGGCTAAGAACTCTGGCCACCGAGGCTGGGAGGCATCCTCCCCCCCCCGTCATCCGAGTCCCTGAACCCCTGGGCCTGACAGCCTCCTGTCCCCCGCGGGACCTCCACGGGGGTAGGGGCGGGGCTGCGGCCCTGGCCGGCTCCACGGCGCCCTGGCCTCGCGGTGACTTGGGGTCCCGCAGGGACGGGCCCAGGCCTGTCTGTATGCGGAGCCCGCCATCCCCTCTGCTCTCTCGCCAAACGGCCGTTAATGGCTTCTCCCAGCTACTGAACCGGCAGCTGCCTCCAGTGCTGGCGGCCTCCCGCTCCTCCCGGGGCCGCCGCCCCGCCCATCCTGGCCGCCCGCGCACTCAGAGCGCTTGCGTCAGCGGGAGCCTGTCGGCTCAGGTTTCGAGCTGTTTGTGGAGAGCGCCCGGCGCTGGGTCTGCTCGTGTCGGCCCTCCACCCCCACAGCCAGCCTGCGAGTCTGTCCCTTCCCACTGGTCTGACCCACAGCCTTGCAGGTGGCCGCAGGGCGCCGTGGGCGTGACGCCTGTGACCGCAGAGTGCCCCTTGGTGCCGCGGTGGGGCTCCACCTCTGAGCCAGGCCTGCGGCGCTTGGGGCAGGAGGCATGGCCTCCTGCCGGTGCTGCACCCGCCCCGTGCTGGCCTGGTGCTTCTCCCTAGTCGGGAGAGAGGGCTCCCCCTGGGGAGGGCAGGGGAGGGGTCAGTGGGGGGGGTGCAGTGGTGGAAGCAGCTGTCCCGTATAAGGGGTGTAGTATGCGTTCTGGGACAGAGCAGGGTCCCTTGGTGCTGGGGCATGTGGGTGGTGAGGCCCCAGCCTGCTGTGTGTGCCCACTTGGAGCGTTTCCTTGGCAGTAGGAGCCCAGCCGTGCAGGGGGTGGGAGAGTGTGCTGGGACAGGGGCCTCCTGAGGGAGGAGGGTTTGCCCTGGGGCTGGAGGTGTGGCTGGTAGTTGGGGCAAGGGCAAGTTCTGTAGGAAGGTGGGTGAGGGATAGCGACTGCAGAGTGCCCCAGTGAGGGGCTGAGGTGAATCCTCCAGAGTGAGATTCTGGAGCCCTGGGGAAGGGGCAGGGGATGGGGCAGGTGTGGAGCCCTGGGGAAGGGGCAGGGGATGGGGCAGGGGCAGGTGTGGAGCCCTGGGGAAGGGGCAGGGGATGGGGCAGGTGTGGAGCGCTGGGGCCAGGCCCAACTCAAGCAGCAGCAGCTCTGTGTTTGAAGTGTGTCTGTGTGTGAGACCTGTTTCAGGACAGGTCTCTTCCACTCCGCAGGGGGGCCATGAGCCTGTGCCCGCACCCTGGACTGCAGAGTCAGGGGACCCCCAGGGTGGGTGGGGGCCAGGGATCTGAGGGCCTGGGAGCTAGGGCAGCCTCGGCACACCCTCCCCTTCCCATGGACCCCACGGAGGGTGGACTTGCTACCTCCGAGCCATGGAGGGATTGGTGGGGGGCCAAGCAGTGGTCTCAGAGGGGTCCTGGGCCAGCACACATGTGAGGCTCCGGTGGGCCTGGCTGGCGGCACTTCTGAGAGGGATGGACAGAGGCAGGCGGTGGTGTCTGGGCCGGCTGCTGCAGAGGTGCCCTGCTACCTGAGTCAGCAAGTGGAAATGGCGGTCTGATGGAGGAGGTTGGGGAGGGCGGCTCCGAGCTCCCCACTTGGACCCCCTGGCCCATCCAGCTGGTTCATGGCCTCTGCTTTTGGCCCGGTCCCCTGCTGGGGTCTCCTCACCTGGCTTTGGCCTGTGAGGCAGGAAGAGGCCAAGTAGGACCTGGCTTTCTCGCCTCTGGTCCGTGAACCAGGACTCATCCTGCTGGAACCTTCTTTGGGTTCAGATGCAGCAGGTGAGCCTGGGGCACATGGCCCAGCCTCCCCCTGCCCTGTATTGTGGCAGAGATTAAACACAGTGGAGGAGCAGGGAGAGGCTGAGGCTCAGGAAGGCTGAGCGGCACTCAGAGACAGGCGGGAGCTTCGTGCAGGGGGCTGAGCGAACACTGCCGGCATTGTAATCGGAGAGGGGCAAGGGAAAAGAGAGAGCCTGAGCGAGGGCGGCTGACCCCACGCTCCCAGGGGACAGGTGGGAGAGAGGCAGAATGAGGAGAGAGTGAAGGATTCCAGAGGTGGGCCGGCTTCCTCCCTCGCAGACAGACACGGGAGGGAGGTGGGCAGCGGGCCAGCGCCGTACCTGCAGTTCCAATCTGCGGTCCTGACAGCTGCAGCCACTTTGGGGAGGGGGAGGGGAGGGGCTCATCGAGAGCGGAAAAATCCCAGCCGACACATCAGCCAGTTGTTGCTTGCTGCTTATGTCCGGTGCAGTCTGGGGGGCGGGGGACCCCTGCTGGCCCCATCCCAGAGGCTTGTCCTTGGGGCAGAGTGGCCCCCCCCAGGAGAGCATGGGGGGGGTGTCTGTGTCCTCAGCCCACACCTCCAAGCTCGGCGCCTGACCTGGAGGGGTCGGGGGGTGCTTGCCCCCACAGGGTCACATGTGCTTCCTGGCAGCCCACAGGTGCTGAGCAGGGTGGGGGCCGGCTGGCCTGTGGGCTCGGGCCGGGTGATGAATCATGTGGTGCCGCCGGCAGCTCATTCCCCAGGCCGGGGACAGGGAGCTGACAGCCGGGGCCCATCAGAGTGTTTCCAGCCCAGCTTGGCCCACAGAGGCGGCGGCGGCTGGCCCAGGGCGCGGGCCCGGCCCCTCCTTTCCAGCTGCCTCTGGGGTGCACACACGGGGGAGCCCTGGGTCTTTGTCCCTCCTGGTGGAAGGCAAGGCCAGCATTCTGGGAAGGAAGCAGGGCCTGCAGTGGGCAGGGAGCACCTGCCACCCCCAGCCCAGCGGCTGTGAGGAGCCGAGTGGACTCAAGTGGGGCCGCCGGGCTCGGGCCAGCCCGCCACCCCCAGTCTGGTTTGAATTTCTGGAGCAGTGGAGGGTGACGGAGTGCTCCTCCCCCGCCCCCTCCGCTCCCTCCTGTTGGCTGGCGGGCCAGGCCCTCACCGCCGCCGCCGCCGCCGTGCTGCTACCGGAGCAGCTCAGGCAGCAACGGGCCCGCTGCCCAGGCCTGAGTCGGCCAAGCTGCAGCCACTGTTGGGAGTCACAGGCCCGGCAGCGGAGAACTTGGCCCGTGCACACCGTGCCCCGATGGGCTAGGTCCCCGGGGACCATCCCAGCGGGCCCGTCCTCTCCCACCAGCCTCCCAGACTGGCAGCACGCCCTGCAGGGGTCTCCTGACACCCCCTCAGTCCTGGGGCTCCAGGGGCTGTCCCTTCCTCTGCACTCCCCTCTGGCCTCACGCCGGACTTGCTCCCCGTTCTGTCTCCTGCCGCATTGCTCCGTGACCACAAGGTGGGTGCCCACTTAGGTGCTCGTCATCTGGGGGGGGGCTTCGTAAGGGAGGTTTGCGTCCCCCACCCAGGCTCAGCTGTGGAAATGTGATTACAGTAGGTGAGGGGCAGGTGGGCCACAAACCCTCCCCATAGAACGTCATCCTGTAACCAGTGAGGCAGGGGAGGCAGGCACAGAGGCCCTAGGGTGCACCTGCCTCCCCTGGACACCTCCCCCAGGGCCTTCCTCAGCCCCCATCTGGACCCCCATGTCTCCGGGCAGGCGGGCGGGGTGGGGGGCTTGGCCTCTCCCTCCTTCTGGCCAGCTGTAGGCTCCTGCAGGATTAGGGAAAGGAAATTTGGGGTTGGGTTTCTTTCTGAATGGAACCTGCCGTGGCGTCTTTTTATCCTGTTATATTTCTATCACGTTGGACACAGCCCCCCCTCTGGCCCTTAATGGCTCTGGCTTTGAGAGTTTCCTCCAAAATTACACCACCGCTTCCTGCTTCGCAGTTCCCTGGAGCCCCTCTGTGCAGAGGAGGGGGGCAGCTCTGGCCCTGCCCTGTTGGGGTGCCCACGTGGGCCTCAGCACCTGGCCTCTCCCTGGGGGCCCAGGAGGGTGTCAGTGGGGGCCCCGGAGCCTGTGCTGAGGGCTGGGGGGGGGCCAGGGCCGGCACCTGGCGCCCTCGGCCATTCCCTGCCCGGTCTGGCCGGAAGTCAGGCTGCTGGCCTGCCTGACCAGCAGGGGGTGTGGGGGGGGATGGGGTGGTGGCTCACAGAGGGCCGCCCCCTGCCTTTCTTCTGTGCTGTGCCAGCAGAGCTCAAGCCGCTAAACCGTAATTGTCACCTGCAGGATTTTAATGGTCAGCCAGCTGTGCACAGCTCGGGGAGGGGGCCTGAAATTGCCCTCCTCACGAGCAGGTGGGGCCTTTAGAGGAGCTGGGTGGGGCATAGTGGTAGGCAGCCAGGGTTCCTTCCTTCCCGTGTGAGCAGTGCTGCAGAGGGCTGAGCGCAGGGCCGGGGGGGCAGGGGTCATGGAGCTCCTCTCCTCTTACAGCTCGTAGGGGAGGGGGAGCCAGGGCACCCCAGCAGGGGTGGGACCCATAGCCCTGTTTGGGGGCCCAGGGGTGAATGCAGGTGGCTGCCATCTGGCTTGCACCCTTAGGCCCACCCAGGCTTGGAAACCTGCTGTGCCGGGCAGCGCCCCTCACTCCACCTCCCCCAGGCGTCCGCTTCTTGGGTCTCTGGGCAAAGGCTGACGCCCCGAGGCTTGGCATGATCGTGCTGTGAGCTCTGCCCTCCTCACCCCTTCAGGGACGCCTGGGTGCCAGGCAGGCCCTTGGAGAGGACCCCGGACTGGCCGGTCCCCTGCTGCATGGCAGTGGGCTCCCTCTGTCCTTTCCTGTCCCTCACCGGGCTCCTTCAGCCCCCAGGCCAGGAGGAGGTGCCTCACTCTGCCTCAGGCCTGGGAGGGGTAGCCCAGCCCCTGGAGGGTGGAGGCCTTCCCTGAGAACTGGTGTCTCTGGCCCAGGGAGCACCAAAGGTGGGAGCAGTGAGCTCGGAGAGAGCACCATGAGGGCTGGGCTCAGGCTGGATTCTGAACCGTTCAAGAGAACTGTGTGCTTCCACGGTTGGACGATACTGTTTTGTTTTTAATTATACAAAGTTTCCAGACTTTATATTATCATATCAAAGACACAAGATGCCAGCACGCAGTGACCAGAAGAAAACCCAGGTAGGAAGCCAGCACAGAAGGTTCCGGTGGGCCTGGGCCCGTTGGGCCAGTGCAGAGTCCTGCACACTTGTCTGTCCATCGGCCCCACTGTAGCCGGAGGCAGGGCTGGCTTGCTGGGCGTCCACAGGAGGCCTGTGCCCGAGTCAGGTCCACGGGGGCTCTCTGTGGATAGCCCAGCGGCGTCCGCCTCTAACTCCGAATCGTGGTCTTTCTGTCTCGGTCCTTGCTCTGCAGAGGGGAGGGGGCAGTGTCAGGGCCTGGCCACAGACCCAGTGCCAGCCCGCGCCTCCGGGCTTCCCCACTGGGTGCTGTCTCAGATGGTGGGTGCTGAAAGCACCCCCTTCCACGCTCACCCCAGCTTCCCCATGCAGTTTGGGGAGGAGAGTACACTGCTGCACAGCCGAAATTGTAAAATTAAATTTCCCAGATGTTCAGGCCCCAGGAGCTCACGCGTGCTGTCTGGAGAGGAAATGGGGATCGGGGAAAGCCGCGCCGCATTTTCTCCCTGCTCACCCTGCTTTTCCGGTGCCACCAAGCACGGCAGGGGCTGTAAATCACAGCCGGCCAGCGCTCCCGCAACGTGGCCCTCTCCCCCAGCCCCCACATCTCCCGCCAGCCTCCTGTCTGCAGAGCCCACAGCCGCCCGGGGTCTGAGTGGGCAGCCCTGGGGTCTTGGGCCAGGGCCACAGGAGGGCTAGCAGGTGCCTGATAGGCCTGGGGCTGGTGGCAGGGGCTTTGACAGGGCAAACAGATGGGGGTGGGGTGGGGGAGTCCCCTTCCTTTGGGGACAGGGTGGGGGGGCCAGAGTTTCTTGAACCAATCCTGGTCTGGTCCCCCAGCCTCTTCCAGTTTGGTGTCTTCCCTGCTTCCCAGACTCCCACGTAGCCCTGGCTGGCCCTGTTTGGTCCCCATGGGCACCTGTGTCCCTGGGGACTCGAGGGGAGAAGGCCCAAGGAGGGCCCAGCCCTGCCTGCTCCAGCTGGGCCTTCTTATGCTCCTCCCTTCCTGGACCCCTGGGCGCACCGGATCACAGGTGCTGCTGGTGGGGGGGGGGGGTGCTCTGCCGGCCTCTGGCCCTGTTCTCTGCCCAGCAGGTGTGGGTAGCTGGGGTGGTATGGAGGCAGAGGCCGCCACATCCTCCTCGCCTCTTTTCCGTGGATGCCCCGTGGGTGACACTCACCAACTTTCTCTGGTTGCTGAGGCAGAAGGTACAGATCTGTTTGGGCTGGGCGTTCTCGCCGTCGCGGGTGGGGGGCGGTGGGGGCGGCGGCGGGGGACTGCCCGGGCGCGCCGCGTGGAAGAAGGCAGGCCCCGAGTGGCACGGCTGCCCGTCGCCGCAGGCCTCGCCCACCAGCAGCACGTTGCCCAGGTGCGAGATGTAGCTGGAGGCCAGGCGCAGCGTCTCGATCTTGGAGAGCTTGCGGTCGGCCGGCTCCGTGGGGATGAGCGTGCGCAGCGCCGTGAAGGCCGTGTTCACGCTATTGGTGCGGTCCCGCTCGCGCGCGTTCGCTGTGTGCCGCTGCCGGGGCTCTCGGCCCGGCCGCCCACCGGGCCCCGGGGCGCCGCCCCCCGCCCGCCTGCCCCCGGCCCGCCTCCGGGTGCCCTGGAGGCCGCAGCGCGCTGCGTGCACGCGGCAGGGCTTCTCGTCGGAGCCCGAACTCTCACTGCCGCGGTCCTCGTCCTCCGACAGCGGGCTCACCTCGGGGTACAGGTAGCGGCCGGGCGGCGCCGAGCGCAGCATGGCGAAGGACATGGGGCCGGCGGGCGCGCCGTCAGCTCCGCCTTGCACAGCGCATGCCGCCCGCCGCGCGGCCGCCCGGGGGCCGGGGAGGCGCGGGTCTCGGTGGCCCGCGGTGGCGGCTGCGGCGCCGCGCGCACGTGTGCGTCCCGGGCTGGAAGAGGGGCCGCGGGCCGGGCCTTTATAGTGGCGGCGGCCCCTCCCCCGCGCCGGCCCGCCCTCCTCCCCGCCTCCCAGCCCCCGGAGGCCGCACAGAGCAGGGGCCCTCGTCCCTCTGCCTTCCCGCGCCACGCTGAAGGAGCCTGCAGCATCTCGCTGTCTCTGGGGGCTGTGGGGAAGTGGGAATCCCCTTCTGGGGCGGTACCGGGGCTGTGCAGCCCTCTCCCTCTGCCTCGGCAGGGGGCAGGAGGGGCAAGTGGGACCCGTGACCCAGGCAGGTCTTCTCCCCCGGCGGGAGCAAGTTAACTCAGATGCCCTGGCGCTGGTGCCGGGCCACACCCTGTTTGTCTCTCTCTCTCTGTCTCTCTCTCCTGTGTACACTTGGGCCTTTTGTGCCAGGCAGAGTGGGGAGGGGGTACAGAGCCCTGGGGGGCTGGAGTTCACCCCACTGCCCAAGGCTGCCCCCCACCCCAAGGTGTGCTTGGGGTCCCCGGGTGGCACAGCCTCCTGGTGTCAGCCATACCCTCCAGCTCTGGTACAAGCTGCACTCTCTGCCTGTACCCCTGCTCTGGAGCAGCCTCCCCATTCCCTTGTTGCATGATCCAGGGTCGGTCCAATTCAGGGGTGGCCCCCCACTCCTGTGCAGAGAAGGAAGGGCAGGGGCACAGGGGTGTCCCCAAAGGACGGGCTTGCTGGGAGTATGAAAGTTGGCAGGACTGGGGCAGGCAGGTGCAGATGGGCAGAGCCCAGGGGGTCCTGTGCTGCTGCAAGGGGCCCTCGGGCTCCCCGCTGTGCTCAGTCTCATCTGGGCCCCTCCCCCTGTGGCCACTGTTCAGGAAGCGGCCGCCTGGGCAGCAGTCTCTGTGCTGGGCGGAGGGAGGGTGGTGGCTGGCCGGGGCCTCGACCAGGAATGTGTGTCCAGGAATGTGGCTGCTCTGGGGTGGGGGGCAGGACCAGGGAGGGCTGAGGGGGGGTCCTCGAATGCCTGCAGGGCAGAACGCAGTGGCTTCTACGTCCCCTTGGAGTGGGTTGGTGGGGTCTTCCCTGAGTCCCTGCCTGTGACTACCCATTTTTGCCTAAGGCCCCACCAGGGGAGGGAGCCCATGGGCGATGAGGTCACCCTTGTCTGTGGCTGCCCAGAGTCCTGGCCAAGGAATCCAGGGGGGAGGCTCTGGGGTTGGCACCACTTCAGTGGAAAATGTGAAGGTACAGCTCCGGCGCTTCTGAGGGCCAGTTGGGGGGGGGGATGGGGGACAGCACCGGCCGCCGTGCCACGTCACACCCCAGGGAGAGGGCACGTCTCAGGGTGCCCGGGTCCCGTCCCACCAGCCTCGAGGCCCATCCCTTTGCTCTCGCTGGTTCCCCCTGCCCTTGCCTGTGACTCTTGGGGAGCTTGGAGGGAGGGGCGGGCATGGTGGGTGCCCGATGCTGACACGCTGGCTTGCTGCCCCAGGACATCCGGAACACGGTGGGCAATGTGCCCCTGGAGTGGTACGATGACTTCCCCCACGTGGGCTATGATCTGGATGGCAGGCGCATCTACAAGCCCCTGCGGACCCGTGACGAGCTGGACCAGTTTCTGGACAAGATGGACAACCCTGATTACTGGTGAGCAGGCTTGGATGGGGCCAGTGGGGGCGGGGCGGGGGGGGGGGGCTTCGAGCTTGGCTCTGATGGGCGGCCGGCCCCAGGCGCACAGTGCAGGACCGGATGACAGGGCATGATGTGCGGCTGACCGACGAGCAGGTGGCCCTGGTGCGGCGGCTGCAGCGGGGCCAGTTTGGGGACGGGAGCTTCGATCCGTACGAGGTAGGTGGCAGCAGCTCGCCCTGGGTGTGGGGGTCAGCTGCAGGGCCCCGGCCCACACGTCTGCTTGTGCTCCCAGCCGGCTGTGGACTTCTTCAGTGGAGACCTGATGATCCACCCAGTGACCAACCGACCCGCCGACAAGCGCAGCTTCATCCCGTCCCTGGTGGAGAAGGAGAAGGTAGGCGCCGTCTACGGTCCGGAGTTCGCTCCCACGTCCCCACGCGCGCTGACCTGCCCTGTCCTTGCAGGTCTCTCGCATGGTGCACGCCATCAAGATGGGCTGGATCCAGCCTCACCGGCCCCGGGACCGCACCCCTAGCTTCTATGACCTCTGGGCGCAGGAGGACCCTGACGCTGTGCTGGGCCGGCACAAGATGCACGTGCCTGCGCCCAAGCTGGCCCTGCCCGGCCATGCAGAGTCCTACAACCCGCCTCCCGAGTACCTGCCCAGTGAAGAGGAGGTGGGCCTTGCACTGCGGTGGGGGTCTGGGCCCCCGTTGCTGGCCCCGAGGCCCCCAGCTCACCCCTGTCTCCGCAGCGCCTGGCGTGGCAGCAGCAGGAGCTGGGCGAGAGGAAGCTCAACTTCTTGCCGCGCAAGTTCCCCAGCCTGCGGGCCGTGCCCGCGTATGGCCGCTTCATCCAGGAGCGTTTCGAGCGCTGCCTCGACCTCTATCTGTGCCCGCGGCAGCGCAAGATGAGGGTGTGTTGCGGGGGGAAGCAGTGCGCCGGGGCGGGGGGGGGGGGGCTGCGCACAGGACATGGGGCAGGGTGACCTCGAGCTCACCTGTCCCAGGTGAATGTGGACCCCGAAGACCTCATCCCGAAACTGCCCCGGCCGCGGGACCTGCAGCCTTTCCCCACATGCCAGGCCCTGGTAAGCAGGTGGGGGGGAACCCCTGGTGGGGGGGAGCCTCTGGGTGGGGGTCTGTCGCCTCACTGCCTCTCCTCTGTAGGTCTACAGGGGCCACAGCGACCTTGTCCGTTGCCTTAGTGTCTCCCCGGATGGCCAGTGGCTAGCTTCAGGTGAGGCGGGGGGGGGGGCATTCCCAGCTTGGGTGGGGGGACTGCTGGGCGGGGGGGGGGGTGCCGCAGCTGGTGAGGGCCTTGTTTGCTGCGTCCAGGCTCTGATGATGGCTCGGTGCGGCTCTGGGAGGTGGTCACTGCCCGCTGCATGAGGACCGTGCCTGTGGGGGGTGTGGTGAGGAGCGTTGCCTGGAACCCCCACCCCACCATCTGCCTGGTGGCCGTGGCAGTGTAAGTGGGCAGCCCGGGGGGTGCTAGGGGCCGCGGGTGCAGACCTGAGCCTGAGGGGCTGCGTGTCACTCTGGCCCACAGAGAGGACTCGGTGCTGCTACTGAACCCGGCCCTGGGGGACCGGCTGGTGGTGAGCGGCACGGACCAGCTGCTGAGTGCCTTCGTCCCGCCCGAGGAGCCTGCGGTGCAGCCCGCCCGCTGGCTGGAGGCCTCAGAGGACGAGCGCCAGGGGGGCCTGAGGCTGCGCATCTGCCATGGGAAGGTGTGGGGGGCTGCTGGGGGGTGTGGGTTAGGATGGAGAGGGGCAGGGGAGGGCCCAGCTAAGCCAGTGTTGCCTCCTGCAGCCGGTGACACAGGTGACCTGGCACGGGCGCGGGGACTACATGGCCGTGGTGCTGGCCGCCGCGGGCCACACGCAGGTGCTGATCCACCAGCTGAGCCGGCACCGCAGCCAGAGCCCCTTCCGCCGTAGCCACGGACAGGTGCAGCGGGTGGCCTTCCACCCCCTGCGACCCTTCCTGCTGGTGGCTTCCCAGCGCAGCGTCCGCCTTTATCACCTACTGCGCCAGGAGCTCACCAAGAAGCTAAGACCAAACTGCAAGTGGGTGTCCAGCCTGGCAGTGCACCCTGCAGGTGAGGGCGGGCGGGCGCAGGGGAGTGTGCACCCTGCGGGGGAGGGCGGGCGGGCGCAGGGGAGTGTGCACCCCGCAGGTCCCCACCACCCCGTCTGTCCCCAGGGGACAATGTCATCTGCGGCAGCTATGACAGCAAGCTCGTGTGGTTCGACCTGGACCTTTCCTGTGAGCCATACAGGGTGCTGAGGTGAGTGGCGGTGGGGGTGCGGGTGCCGGCGGGACCTCCCCTGCCCTCCCCTGCCCTCACCCAGCCCCTGCCCTCCAGGCACCACAAGAAGGCCCTCAGGGCCGTGGCCTTCCACACCCGGTACCCACTGTTCGCATCCGGCTCCGACGACGGCAGCATCATCGTCTGCCACGGGATGGTGTACAAGTGAGTGCTGAGCCGCGTGCGCCCTGCCCGGGGCGGGGGGGGGGGTCCTGCCCCCGTCCTGAGTCCCTTTGCTCCCCTCCCCCACAGTGACCTGCTGCAGAACCCGCTGCTCGTGCCGGTGAAGGTGCTGCGGGGACACGTGCTGACCCGAGACCTGGGGGTCCTGGACGTGGCCTTCCACCCCACCCAGCCATGGGTCTTCTCCTCGGGGGCCGACGGCACCGTCCGCCTCTTCACCTAGGCCCCCCGGTGTCCGCGGGGGCAGGGGCGGCGCATGCGTGCTCACGACCCTCAATACAGGTGTTCCCCGCCCACTGCTGGCGTGACCTTGATTCGGGGTTTTGACCAGCGGCCCTGCCACAGCGTGGGGCCTTCCCCTGGTTCACGGAGTCTTCCTAAATGGGGTACAGGGGCTCCCGGCTGCCCTGCCCCCCGCGGATAGGTCCGGTCCTTGCACTCCCAAGCCACCTGCTGAGGAGCCACTGGCTTTATTGGAAACGGGAGTGGGGGGTACAGCAACTTGCCCCCCCGCCCCCCACAACAGCCTCCAGCGGCCTCCTCCAGAAGGGCAGGCCTTCGACTCGTGGCAGGGGCACCGGCAGCTCCCCACTCCGCCTCGGGCCGGGGGCTCCTCAGGGCCCCATCTTGGGGATTCAGGCCCGTGCTGCCTGTAGGGGTAGTGCTGTTGCGGGAGCCTCAGGCGAACTTCACCAGGCGGCCCAGCGTCTCGGCGGCCTTCATGCGCACCAGGGGGGCTGGGTCCTTGAGCAGCAGCTGGAGCGCTG